GCCCCCCCCCCCCCCCCCCCCCCCCGCTCGGGAAGACCAACGGGATCCCTCCTTTCCCAAAGAAAATGGGACTCAAAAGAACAGAAAGGCCCAGGATCTGCTCTTACCATTTAGGGTTGGTTTTGCTCATTAACGCCATGAGTCCACAGCGCCACGCTCTTGGGCTTGGGCAGACTGTTGGCCGTGGTATCTATAAGGAGTTTTTTGAGCCGAAGGAAAGGTGGTTGAAAACAACTCCTTCCTACCAGGAGTCCAGCCTGGCCAAGCTTGGGAGCAGATTCAGAAAGGGCCGTGGCACGAGGCCTCCCGGCTTCAGTGGGAGGTTTCTGGGAGCCAGTCCTGGTCCCTGTGGCTTGGGGTGCCTTGGGGGGGGTGAACTCCCTTTCTCACTGGTCTTTCCATCCCACAGCCCGCGCTGAATGGCTCCTCAGGCTTCATCTGCTGGTCGCGGGGCTTCTTGGAGGTAGGGGGTGCTGAGAGCCGAGGAGAGCTGCTGGAATCGCTGAAGGCTTACTCAGCCCAGGGAGACACCCCACCTCTGCTACTGTTCCCAGAGGAGACCACTACCAATGGCCGGGTGGGCCTCCTGCGTTTCAGGTAAGACCTGGCCGAGGGGTGCCTGGGCAGGGCCTGCGGTTTGCCGCCGCTGCTGGTGACGGTGGGGCAGGGGGAGGGCAGGGCCCCCTCCCTAGCTCGTGGCCTGACTGCATTGTTCTTTTGTAGCACGTGGCCATTCTCCATCTTAGATGCTGTCCACCCAGTGGCGCTACAGGTACAGAGGCCCTTCGTTGCTGTGGTGAGTCTACGTTCGGGGAGGGGTGCCAGTTGACCTAGATGGCTTTTATCATGTTCTGTCAAATCAAATCTGACTTAAGCTGCTGTTTTCAGGGCTTTCTATATAGGGAATACTCAGTATTGATTTTTCATTCCCTTCTTTGGGGGAGGGGGTACCCTGGCACTGCATAGCTTGCCCGAGGCCACCCAGGCTACCTCTACTCGCAGGAGACAGACACAATGGGGAATTGAACTCCCAACTTCTCGCTCTGTAGCCAGATACCTAAACCGCTGAGCCATCCATCCAGCATCTCACAGATATGGAGAAATGCTCCTATAAAACAGTTTATCTGCCTCTAGAAATAATCGCAGACAATGAAATGACACAATATTGTTGTGCTGTGTGTGTGTGTGTGTGTTCTTTTATTTATTTATTTATTTGTTTCCAACATCACACTTTAGTGCAAAGCGGGAGATTACGGGACAGGAGGGCAACAGGAGAGCAGTCCTTTCCCAAGGTGTGTGACCCTCCCATCATCCTCAACCACTAGCGGCTAGCTAGAGGTGATGGAAGCTGGAGTCTAGCACATCTGTTGGGGCCCAATTGGGAAGGCTGCTAGAATATTAGTTTCCAGCGTAATCAGCTAAGAACAAGCAAGAGTACAGAAATTGCTCAAAACAACACAAGATTTAAAGCTATATAGCTACCCTGTCTCCTCCATTTAAAAAAATCGCCTGGATATCTGGGATCTGTATCATCACTGCTTTTAAAATTTATTTTCTAGGTATCACTTTGTGCCACTGTACTAGACAGGGAATTTTATGCTAAATACACTGGCCTGTCTTCCCTCAGTACTGTTTCTGTTATTAAATGTGATCTAATTTTTCAACGGGGCCTTTTTGATTGTGGCCCTCTGTATCCCAAGAAATTGCTACCCATCTCTTAGAGCCAGTTCTTGAAACTTCTTCTCAAAACAATTCTGTCCCATCATCCACCCTCTTCCATAACACATTAGATGTGTTTCTTGGTAAAGCATGAAACACGTTATGCTCTGCTATGTAGCCAAAATGATTCCAGCCTTAAAAGCTGAAACAACCATCAGTTAAACTGCTTTTGCTTTGCTGCTAGGCTGCTTCTGATGATTCCGTGTGTTTAGAGAACTTCCATAAACTTACAGATTTTAATTAAGAGAGGGTGCAGATTGCCTGTTCTTCCTGTATCCACAGTGGATTCATTCACATTGGCTGGGAAATTCTGAGAGTTGTAGTGGGTAAAAAATTGTAACTTTTCCAAGCTCTGACCCATAAGAGTGAGGTAAACAGAACCCAATTATGCAATAAGCTTATCTGAACTGTGGGAAAGAAAATACAAGGGCATTTTGATTCTAAAATATTGAGTGGCGATAAAGAGAGGAACAAAGACGAATGGACATGCCTTCTTCTCTAAATGGCTAATATAAAACAGCAATTTCAAATGTCGCTTGGGGAAAAAAACAGTATTGCTGAAACAAGAGTAATTTTTGTGGTACATTGATGGCCTACAGGCATGATTACCCTGTACTTCTTACATCATTTTCAAGCCTGTTTTAATTTGTCGTGGTTCTTAGCCACAGAGGCATGGGAATCCTCGTGATATGAAAGCACTAGGGACTTCTAACATTTAGTGTCCTTTCCCAGTATTTGATGGAGGTGGTAAGAAAATACATTGATTTTCGAAGGGAGAAAGAAGCACAAAAAGGCAGTTCAAAAGTTCAATATTGGAAATTATTGTGGTAGCCAGGAGATGAAGTAGGAACAGTTCATGGCCTGGAAGAGGGTGACTTGCATGTTGCTGGCAACGGTTTTATGCCAGTTTTCAGGATTTTAAAATACCATGATTTTTTTTTTAAAAAAATTGGTTTGTAATAGTACAGTGGTGCCTCGATTAACGAGCGCACCATTTAACTACAAATCTGCATAGTGACGGGTTTTTTGCGATTGCTAATGCGATCGCATTGCGATGTTTTGGATAGGGAAAACATCGCATTGCGATGATCGGTAAGCGTTTCGCGGCTGCTGTCACCATTTATGTGTGTTCTGGAATACTGCATGATCAAGATTCCAGAATGGAAGCTGCATCTTCAGTGCTTTAAAAGGTGAGTGTTGGGAGTGGTATGGTTAGGGTCAGGACTAATGCCAGCAGCATAGCGCCTGAGAACCTTACTCACATGGAGTGTGTTTGCATGAGTAATTTTTGAATGTTTTTTTAATATGCATGGATTTGTGCATGATAAGGATTTGCAATTGGAAAATGAAGCAGGAACAATTGACAGCAGGTTTGCATTTGTCAACATCACACACATGTGTGTTTGTGTTAAGAGCCTGGGATTGTCTGTGGCTCCTGTTGAGCGCACATTCAGTAGCAAACCTGGATTTGCTCCTGTGTTATGTGTGAATGAGTCTTGAGACGAGTTCATCCAGGGAAGAAAAGGGCCGCCGTCCTTGAAAGTGGCTGGAATGCAGAGCAGTTTATTCTGATCTTTGCTTCTAGAACGACCTCGTAATTTTAGAAGGACAAGAAGTCGCTTTTTCTGACAACACATTTTTTTCCTCCTGAGTTGGTTGTGAAAGCATGGGCAGCCAACCTTGAACTCCCGTTACTTTACATGACGTGAAGATCACGTCACTTGTCATTTAGGAAGCTCATTGTTCCGAGACTTTAACCGAAGTGTCAGACCTGACAAACCGTTTCGTTCTTGGCCTAATTGGGCTCTGCCTGATAGAGATGTTCCTTATACAGTACTGGCATCTTCTCTGATCCTCCCTAATAAGCAGCCACTCTAGGTGAATTCTACATTCAGTTACGTACGGTGTGGGGTGGAAGGTTGCCTTTTATATGTTGTAGCCCTTGTTTTAAAAAAATCTTCCTTGTCCTTTCAGAATGGGATATTAAAGTTATTGTGTATGTGTGAGAAACAGGCCCTTTAGGGGGAGAAAGAAGCCTCTGCTTTGCGAAAAGGGATGACTGGAACCATTTTAAGAAAAGAAATGCCGACAGAAAGATATAATTGCTGGTGTTTCAGCAAGAAAGGGATTTTAACTAAGACACATCATTTCTAGAGAGCCTAAAGAAGGGGAGGAAAAGGAAAAAGAAGGGGGGGAACACACACAAACAAACCCCCAGGAAGGGGGGGGCACAAAAAACAAATGGCTTGCCTCCTTCTGCAGCAGGTCCAAGGGCCAGGTTTGTGCTGGTTTCTGAGGGGGACCCTCTCTGTGGGAAGGTTATATTCTGAACAATGTACCGTATTTTTAATCTGGTTTCTTCTTACCCCATTAAAAATGCCTTTTAATGCACACTTGGAAAGGAGAGGGTTGCAGGTTACTTGTCTATCGTAAAAGGGGGTCATGACTCGGAAAAGATTGGGAACCAGTGGGTAAGAGTAATTGAGTGGGACTTGGGAAATGCAGATTCAACTTCCCACTAAACAATGAAACTCATAATGCGACTTTGGACCAATCACTTTTCCTCTGCCAGAACAACCTGTATGGCTAAAGTGGAAGGAAGGAAAACAACATAGTCTGCTGCGAGCTCCCCGGACAAAGTCCCGGATATATATGTAAATGATAGGTAAACAGATGCTGAATCAAGTAATGGTTTTAATTTCAGTGGAATACTTTCTGTTGCTAATGAGATAAGGCACCATATAGTGCTAAGT